GCTTACCAACCTGACATTCACCACAAACCCTCCCTTCATCAATTTGCAGTCTTGGAATCCCTCTGACTGCCTCCATAGAGATAATCCTTTTCATTCCTCTTAGATGAAGATGTCCAAGTTTTTGGTGTCACAGTTTCACCTCTTTTTCTTCTTTAGCAATAGAACACACAGTGGAGTAATTAGTGTTCTCAGGCTCCCACAAGTAACAGTTGTCTTTAGATCTGACTCCTTTCATTACAACTTCTTGTTTTTCATTAATTATAAGACATTCAGATTTTGAGAAGTTGACCTTGAATCCTAGATCACATAATTGACTGATACTAATGAGATTAGCAGTCAGGCCTTTTACCAATAGTACTTCATTCAGATTTGGAACTCCAGGGCAGTCCAAATTACCAACTCCTTTGATTTCACCTCTAGCACCATCTCCAAAGGTCACATAACTAGTGGTGTGAGGTTTAACATTATTGAGAAGGTTCTTGATTCCAGTCATGTGCTTAGAACACCCACTGTCAAAGTACCAGTCTTCCTTTGCAGAGACTCTCAGGGAAGTGTGGGCTATCAGGGCAGTAGCATTTTTCTTCCATTGAGGAGTATGTGGTACCCTGTTAGACTTAGGTTTGACACCTGGGTTCTGATTAGGGTATCGATACAATCTGAAGCAGAAAGGCTTTATGTGACCAAACCTCCCACAATGATGACATCTCCATCTTTGGTACTTTTTCTTCATATTTCTCTGTTCCCGATGTTGAGTGTTATGTTGTGACATCTGCTTTGACATTTATTTATCAGACCTGATCTTCTTGTCTGCACCAGATTTCTTTGCTGCCACAAATCCTAGACCAGACTTGTTTCTCACATTTTGTCCAACCTGAAGGATTTCTTCCAATTTGTCAGTTCCATTTGTCAGCATCTTGACAGATTTGGTCATCTGGTTCAGTTTTGAGTTCAACATTTGAACTTCCCCTTCTAGATGACTTATAGTTTCAAGGTCTGCCCTTTTTTCAGCCTCCAACTTTATGATGAGTTTTGTTTGTCTCTCATTTTGCACACAGACTTCAACACTTCTGATACACAATTTCTTGTAAGTATCAGCCAGTTCTTCAAATGTCACTTCCTCATCACTAGTGTCACTTTCAGAGGTACAAACACCAATTAGTGCAGTAACTAGTTTGGCAGATTCTTCTTCAGAATTACTTTCTGAATCACAGTCAGACCAGGTAACAGTCATTCATTTCTTTTGTTTCTTAAGAAAGGTAGGACACTCAGCTCGAATATGCCCATATCCTTCACAACCATGGCATTGAATTCCTCTGCCTTGATTTCCCTTCTCTTCAGACCTTGGTCTTCTGCTGGAATCATAAGATCTGTTAATGTCAGAGGGGATGTTCTCAACATTTGACCTTGACTTTGGATCCATTCTCTTGATGAGTTTGTTGAATTGTCTTCCAAGCATGGCTATAGCTTCTGAAATATTTTCTTCTTCATCCTCCTTGTTTTCATCTTCAGTGTTGGATACAAGTGCTATGCTCTTGTTTTTCTTGTCAACATTGTCACTGATCCCCATCTCAAAAGTCTGAAGAGACCCAATGAGTTCATCCACCTTTAACTTGCTGATATCCTGGGCTTCCTCTATAGCAGTTACCTTCATTGCAAATCTTTTAGGCAGGGATCTGAGAATCTTTCTCACTAGTTTTTCTTCAGACATCTTTTCTCCCAATGCTCCTGAGGTGTTGGCAATCTCCAAGATGTTCATGTGAAACTCATGAATGGTTTCATCTTCCTTCATCCTTAGGTTCTCAAACTTGGTAGTCAGCATCTGAAGCCTTGACATTTTTACTTTGGATGTGCCCTCATGGGTAGTTTTGAGAGTGTCCCACACTTCCTTGGCCAGTTCACATTGATGTACTAGTCTGAATATGTTTCTATCAATTCCATTGAACAAGGCATTTAAAGCTTTGGAATTACCCAGGGCTAACTCATCTTCTTCTTTGCTCCATTCTTCCTCAGGCTTCAGACTGATTGTCCCATCTTTCTCAGTTATGGTGGGATGGTTCCATCCTTTGTCAGCAGCTCTCCAAGCCTTTTTGTCCAGTGATTTTAAGAAGGCAATCATACGAGGTTTCCAGTAGTCATAATTTGTTCCATCCAGAATGGGTGGTCTATTTCCAAAAACTCCTTATTTGTCCATAGTGCCAGAAAGTGATATCCCTAGATCTCGCCCAGTAATACAGGCAGGGTGTCTGCTCTGATGCCAATTGAAATTCTGGCAGCAGATACTCAATGTCACAGTGAATATTATGACACTGTATCTGACTTTCTATAAGACAGTAAATAAAAACAGTAAAGAACACAGTCAATTGTTTACCCAGTTCAGTGTGAAATAACACCTACTCTGGGGGCTACCAAGCCAGGAAGGAAATCCACTATAAGAGATATTAATTCAGGAATAAACCAACCAGTTTATCTCCTTCACTTAAAACCTACACAATGCAACTTCAATCTAAGTTCAACTTAAACCTGAGTTCCTACTCACTCCCCCTCAATCACAGCAGTGATACTTAAAACAATTGACTAATAAAATAATGAAGACACTCTTCAGAACATACACTTGATTATGCTTCACAGCTTTTTAATCAAGTAACACAAACACTCGTGCTTCACAGCTTTGAGTGATACATAAACCTAACTTGACTTTGCTTCAAAGCTTTAGTCAAGAGACACAAAACACTCTTGCTTCAAAGCTTTGAGTGATACAAAAACCCTTACAATCAAAACCTATTCCAAGTCACTTATCACAATGATACTTGCTTGGATTACAGCAGTTAAAACTATACAGCTCCTAATTGATCTTTAGTCAAAGAGTTACTTTTCAAACAGCAATCCTGTTGAATATATATATATATATATATATATATATATATATATATATATATATATATATATATATGCAGTTGTTTCTTCAGTTTAGGGCTTCCACGAAAAGCTAGGGTTAATTAGGTTTAACCTTATGACTTGGTCACAAGACTTTATCAACCAGATTAGGGTTGAGCTAGGTTAACCCAAAGTCCACGTGAGATTCTGTTCTGGAAGGAATGAGCCATCTTCTTGAAAAGTCTCAGAATTAACCAAACTGCATATCTGTTATATCAGTACAGGATGTCTTAACATTTGTTATGACATCAGAATTCCTGTTTACTGATTTTGGTAGAAGGCAATAAATGTGATCATTACAAAATGCTCAGATACACACTCATAAACAGTAGCTACTGTATGCCATACTTTTTCTGCATAAAGTACCTAATAATCCAGAATGTTATGACATCAGTCATGACATTTACACACCTGGTTTTACCAAAAATACATGCCAATAACTAAACACTTACACTAATTATATAAGTGGCAAGCTTGATGCATTTGACTTTTATGCTCCAGCTTGAGGGAAAGTGTTGATATTAGTAAATATATAGTGTTAAGAATATTTGTATATATAATAGTCTCACATCCAATATATCTTATAATTAGCTGTAATCTCTCTATATATAATAAAGTCTTCGTAGTGCTTTTCAAAACACAGAGTTTAACATAAATGTCTCTTAGTCTCTCATAATTCAACAAATATATTTTATAAGTATCAAATAAACTTTTTATTTCACAGGTCACTATCAACACAATACATATTTTATTTTAATCAATAATTACTTTAATTTGAAAGATAAAGTCCTTATTTTCTAATACTAAATATTATATTTTTTTCATCTCACGAGTCCCTTTTTTTCTCTTTGTATTTTAATCCAATTGAGTTTATATAATCATTATTCATTTTAAAATTAATACCTAATTTCAAATTTAGATAAGTTTCTAAATACATTTTATATCGTATGAAATAAATTTATTTGTGCAACTGCACGCGTTCTGGCCGTTATAATTGGAAAAAAAAGGCATTCCGTTAAAAAAAAAACCTCGAGAGATAGTCACAACGGATGATGATACACTTCTAATGCAATCATGACTCATGTTTCAAAGGATCCAATTGTGTGAGTTAATAAAAAAGCCAACTGTTTTTTTGTTATGAATCGCTGCCAATTATAACTAGTATTGTGGGCAGTCGCGAGAAAGGCTATGTGGACAATTAAAATTTCAATGGCATCGAATAAATGACCTTGTTCAAAATTTTATTGAGTGTTACAAATAAGTTGTTGAAGGAAAGAAAAATGGGACATAGGAGAAAGATATCTTGTTCAATGCACATGATTTTTTTGCTCAAGACGAAGCTGCATCTTTCAATCTTGAGTATGCATAGCAATTGTTGAAAGATAAACCTAAATGGATGGGAGCATCGACTGAAAATCTTGTATCGGCTCGATCTTTTTCCTCGTGAGCTCATTTGCTAAGCTCATGCCATGCTGCTCATAGAAAGAAAGTGTTACCTCAGAAGTTGCTTTCTCTTTGTTAATTTTTACTTCTTCTGAGTTCCTTTCTTGCTGGTGCAGTGATGCTATGTACAGCTCTTGTATTTCAGCATGTGTCTTTTTATCTGGTTCTTCAAGGTCTCTCTGTGAGATTCATTCATCATCACCACTTCTTGCTTTAACTTTGATTCCATATAACATGTATGTTTTATCTGCAAAAATATGTATTGAATAGGAGGGTGTATATTTTAACACAAGCAAGAAGAATATGATAGTTTAAGCATCTTTTGGAAGAGGAGAGTATAATTTACTCTTAACTCTACATGCAGAGCTTTTGAGTAGGATTAAATAGTTGCTTCACTGAAGGCAATGTTTAAAGAGTTTCTCCTCAACCTTTCTTGCCATCGCATTTTTTACTCGAACAGTTCTACCCATACAACATATGCCAACCATACAACATTTGCCAACTTTTGACATTTGTTATAGGTGATGCTTATTCATATGATACAAATCTCCTATTCTGATCAATGATCATGATTCATGGATGAACAAATTTCAAATTATCTCAGGTGTTTATGCATTATGAAGTCAATATAAACACAAATGCTGCCAAGTGCTTGTATTCAAATAGACATCACTTGGGCTTAAGATGCTATTAGAGTCTTTAACAGAAGTCACATTAATAACACTAACACCTGAACATCCATCTCCGCCACTGTCTCTCATCATTTCCCTCACCCTTGCTACATCATCCCATCTCCCAACAATGGCATACAGATTTGACATTAATACATAAAGTCCACCATTTTTGTAATTCAATAAAAACATATTTTTTGCCAAGCACTCCCCAAGCTTCACCTCTTGTTGGATGCAACAAGCACTTAAGAGAGCACCCCAGACAGCAGAATCAGGCTGAATCTCCATGTTGTTTATAAATTCAATTGCTTCCTTGAACAAGCCTTCTCTACCTAAAAGAGCAACTACGCATGCATAATGTTGTAGACTCGGTATCAAACCATACTCTTCTGTCATGATAGTGAAGTACTCTAATCCTAAATAGACAAGTCCTCCATGTGTGCATGCTGCCAAAACACCCAAGAAAGTGATTTTATCTGGTTTTAGCCCTTGATCTTGCAGTTTAGAATAACAATTGAAAGCTTTATGCTCAAGTCCATATAAACTATAACCTGATATGATGGAGTTCCATGTTGCCAAACATGGATCTTTGATGCTATAAAATACCTTTTCAGAATAATCTAATCTCCCACACTTGCTATACATGTCTATTAGAGCAGTTCCTGTAAAATCTTCCCCTCTCATATTGTTCCTCAGAATATAACTATGTAGTGTCTCTCCAATCCGTAAGTAACCAAGCTGGCAACACCCAGATAGTAGACTGGCAATTGTAATGTCATCTGGTTTTTGTCCATGCATGTTCATTTTGGAGAACAACTCCATGGCATCACTTGACTTTCCAGCCTGCACACAGCCAGATATCATAGAATTCCATGTGATCAGTGGTTTTTCTCTCATATCATAAAACAAAGACAAAGCCGTTTCTATCTCGTCAAATCTAGAATACAAACTTATTAGCCCATTGGCAACTAAACAATCATTAGACAACCCGCTCTTCACCCCATAACCATGGAAAGCACATCCAATAGAAAAATGTGAAGGACATGTAATTCCATGAAGTACACCAAGCAAGGCAACTGCATCCGGTTTTATATCTAACTTCATAGTTTGAATAAAACACTCAACCGCGGACTCTATATCACATTTTTCAGAATAGCTAGAGATTATCGCGGTTAACGCAATCAAGTTTTTCGTGGGATAGGATTTGTAAAGCAGTTTTGCCATATATGTAAGCCCTTGCTTTGCATATAGACAAACCAGCGAAGTAACAACAGAAGCATCATTGTCAAAGCCACATTTCACAACATAACAATGAACATTTTCCGGAAGAGCATTTGCCGACACAAGGTTCATCATCGTCACCGAACTTGGTTGAAAACCTTCCTTAACCATCTCTTTAAAACAAATAACAGCCTTATCAAAAAAACCATTTTGTCCATACGCACCAATCATCGTATTCCAAGAAACAACATTCTTCTCATCCATTTCTTCAAACACGAGTTCCGATGCTTTCAAATCATCACATTTAGCATACATCGACATAAGCGCATTATTCAAATGAGAATCCCAACCAAGACCAGCTTTAATTCCAAACCCATGAACAGACCTACCTTGAAGAATCATCTCAAAACAACCACAAGAAGGTAACAAACTAACAACCGAAGTTTGATTCGGTCTAAAACTCTCTCTTAACATGTCAACAAAGGTTCTCATAGCATCATAAACAAACCCATTTTGAGAATAACCACAAATCAACACGTTCCATGAAACAACGTCTTTAAAAGACATATCATCAAACAGGTGGCGTGCATGAGAAGCAAAACCGAGTTTCATGTACAAATCAATAAGAGAGGTATTTACATGAATGAATTGATTAATGCCACGTTTGAACGATTGGGTCTGAATCTGGCGTGCTTGTAACGCTGCGGTTGATGAAGCATGAACGAAAGCTTTGATGAGTAATGAAAATGTAAAAGCATTGGGGTTGGCATTGGCTTGTAAAAGTTGGCGAAAGGTAGCAAGTGCAGAATTGGAATTCTGGAAGAGAGAGTGAAACAGAGACAGATTGGAGGCAAACATTAGTTTGAATATTGCTATCAATGCCACCCCATTCTTGAATACATTTGTGACATGTTTTATCTAGTGTGAGGAAAAAGGTAAGATCATCAACATTGTGACTGCAATCAAAGAATTTAACTTACCACCCAAAAATTCATAATATCAAAAACCCACACCAACAAATTTTTAATTCTCCCTCATAGGCCAGAGATCATATGTTAGTTTCCTAATCCATTATTGAATGCCACAGATAATATAAGGTCAGCTTCCTAATCCATTATTGTATGACTCAACTTATATTACTATTCACTCTATAAAAGACTCCTTTTGTTAAAATTAACTGTAAATTGATAAGTTGATAGATGATAATTGATATTTTATAACTGATGATGACTGATAATTGATAAGTTAACATGAACATTTGATAAATTAATTATTTCATTTAATTTATAAATTTAAAATGATATAAAATAATATTTTAAAAAGATTGATGATTCATTATCTTATTATGTTATATTATTAAATTAATTTTTATTCAATAAAAATAAATATATTAATAAAAATATGCAAAACAATATTAATATATAAAAAAAATTAAAGTTATCATTAAAATATATTAAATTTGTAAATAAGTTTTATAATGAAATTTAACTGAAATATTATGAAATAAAAAAATATAATTTTCAATTCAGTTATATTAATCCGAAATAATAATAATAATAATAATAATAATAATAATAATAATAATAATAATAATAATAATAATAATAATAATAATAATAATTTTATTGTCTAATATTTTATAATAGAACTATAATGATATTCTGAATTATTTTTTTTCATCTTGGTTGATCTCATTGATTCTCTTTAACGTTTCAAAATTTATTATATAATTTAGATGTTACGCAAACATTGCATCATCTTTCATCTTATAATAAGTTGACGCGAATATATATATATATATATATATATATATATATATATATATATATATATATATATATATATATATATATATATATATATATATATATATATATATATATATATATATATATATATATAAAAGAGGGATATTCTTACTTCAAGAGTAAGTTATTAAAACTTATTACACATTTTGACCATTAATTATTTGCAATCCAATGGTTAGGAATAATAAATAATTAAATGTGGAGAGAGAAAACTATTACTTAATATTTTTAATCATTAAATTGATAAGAATTAGTGGAGAAGATGTGGAGTAAGTCTTATTAACTTACTATATATATTGAAGGTGTGAGAAACACAAGAAAGAGATTTTAAATTGGGTTTCACCAAAATAAACCTTTTCGTTGGTCTAGTCCACCCCTCAAGGTGATTTCGTCTTCAACAAGGACTTAATCCACTATAACCAAACCGATTACAGCCAACCCATAATAAATCTGTTGATCCGTATTGCAAATCCACTCAAACCGCAACAAGAGTCTTCTTGAGATATGACTGTTACTTGGTCTCTCAACGAATCAATCAACAATAGTTGTATACTTTTAGTGTATTTCAATTTGCTTCTTTTAAGCAGATTACATAGACTTTTCAGTGTTGGTGTAAACCCTAGAGGCCAATACTTTTGGTACTTGTATCGAATTATTTATTAATAATAAAAGGCATTTCTTTATTATGTTTGCTTTCCAAAATAATAAAGTCCCTAGAATGGTTTATTTGGTTAATGAAATGTTAAGCGTGACTTAATCATGAGATCCCATTAAACATAAGACACTATTCTTAAAGTATCCGTAGTCAAGCTTTAATGTGAAGTGGGATAACATTAAAGCATTAAGATTATTATGAAGATAGATTGATGATCACATCTCATGGATCATAGATAAGGAGTTATCAAGTCTTGACATAGGTATGAATATTAGGAGTAATATTTATACTGGATTGACCCGCTATGAGAATACTACATAGAATGTTATACAAAGTGTCATAAGTTATTCTCATGATGATAATGGTGTATACCACCCTTCGACCTGAAACCACTATGGACCCTAGATATAGAGTCAAGTACTTTATTGCTGATCAAATGTCATCCGTAACTGGATGACTATAAAGACGGTTGATGGGTACTTCACAAAGCATGCTAAGGGACATGAGTGACCTAGATGGAATTTGCTCATCCTGCATAACAGGATAAATGTCTAAGGGCCCAATATTGAACTGGACAAGGGTGACACAGTGTATGCCTTGTGTTCAATATAGACATGAGGGCAAAAGGGTAATTGTATAACACAAATATTATCACAGAAAAGGTTTGGTCAGATCACATGACATTTTCGTGACTTGGGTAACAATGATGTGTTGCTAGATACCGCTCACTGTTTATTATATTAAATGTGTGATTTAATATAATTGCCAATGTCGCGAAAACCTACAGGGTCACACACATAAGGACAGGTTGATGAGAGATAGAATAAATAAGGAACACCGTAAGGTACGGTGCACTTAAGTGTAATACGGAAAGTGGTAAGGTACCACGTGGATAAGTGATATATGGTACATCATAAGGTATGATGTCCATAAGCTTAATTGGGCTTTTAGCTTATAGCCTTAATTGGCCTTTTAGCTTGTAGCCCACACGAGTGATTCTATAAATAGATCCCTTGTGATGAAGCAATTTCACTTGATGCAATTTCGTTTTTGATTCTCTCTCTCACTCAAGGTTTCCGTTCGTGATCAACTAGCACTGTGACCGGAAGCGGTCTGTTCGTGTGGACTGAGTAGAGGCGTTGTTCTTCATCAACGCTCGTGATCACAACATCAAAGGTCTGAATCGCCACAAGAGATAAATATTTCTATCACTGACCATGTTCATTCGTAAGGATCGCTAAAGGAAAATTTTAAATTCCGCTGCGCTTTTCTGATCGCAATTTTCCTTCATTCAGTACAAAGAAAAACACCTAAGTGTGGACAAAGAAAAACACCTAAGTATTTTATAGCAAGATATGAGCAACAACTCCTTGCCTATTTACAAAATTATACACAGAAGATTTCTCTACAGAGTTTGGACAATGCTTTGGTGTAGTTTTGTTAAGCTTGATTTAATCCGATAGATTTGCCATTGTAATGTTGATTCTTAATTTTCTTCAACTTCCAAGTCTTTCTTTTATAACTTGTAAAAGAGATCCGTTCAAAGGGTAGAAAGGTAATCAGAAATCTAGCTGTTTGTTCTCAACAGTCATAGTGAGAGTGGTCATAGTAAAGTACGAAAAGAATGTCCTTGCGCCACTCTAGAAGAGCAGAGGTCACAAACACTTTATGTACCTTTTGTACACCATCACACATTAACCATTTTGAACTTCTTCTTATCTTCAGAGGCTTCAGATATTTTGAATGTTGAAGCTTGTTGTAGAAGATTTTCTCTTAAGTCTTAGAACCTAAGTCTTGGAGACTTCTTAACTTGTCCTAACAGAACATTGTCTCCAGAGTCTTCAGCACTTGGTTGTAAGAACTTGACTTTCTTCAGATCATCAGAACTTGTTCAGCAGAACCTCGTCTTTATAATCTCCAGAACTTGTAACGCACAGAAGTAAAGCTTTAGAAGGCCTCCAAAGCTTAACCACAAAGTCACGATCAAAACCTCTTGTACTAACGCTCCTTAGACACGTTGTATAAGACATATTCACAATCTTGACTTCAAATGTAGCACGTAACCAGATGTTTTCTTCCAGAGTGTTTATATTCAGAACTTGATAATGTCACACGCCTTGTACCAGAGTTAGAACATTATAGCAACAACTACACACTAGAACAAAACCGTTAGAGTATACAATTGTTCTCTAGGATATCATGTAAAGTTATCATCAAAATCTTAAGGCCAGATGTAGAAACACTTCTTATTCTTACAATCTCCTCCTTTTTGATGATGACAAAATCATGTATTTTGATAGAACGATTTATACAGAATAATCACCATAACCGACAAATTCAGAGTTAAGCTCACAGCTCCCCCTGAATCTGTTAATCCCAAAATTTTATTTATTCTTGTTCAGGCTCTCCCCCTGAGCCCAAGACTCACAAAATAAATTTTGAGTTTTCAGAACATAGAAATAGATAAGGAAAACTTCCATACAACAACTCATCATAGTCTGACTATAATACCTGGTCTTCATCTCAGAACCTGGTTACTATCAGAACTTGATAAAGAATCAAAACTTGATTTTGAGCCTGATTAAATAATGCCACGCATCATTTATCATCACTTTTATTTCATGATTCTAATATCACAACCAAAACACTATATTTTTGGAGAAGTTCACTACTTCTTAAGCATCAACGTTTGACATGATAGTTTCCACTATATCACACATTCAGACAGTTCACAACTTCTGAATAGAGCATACATTGCAGAAGCACATGTATCAGAGCATATCTTCTGAGTGGCATCTCTGTATCAGAGCATATATCAGAATGTTGACTTGACTTTCTCTCAAGAGAGCATAACTTCTGAAGCTTTAAGTTTGAATTCCATACTTTCAGAAAGTTTACAACATCTGAACAATATGATATCAAGCAAGATTACCTTACTTTCATAAAGTTTATAACTTCTGAATTGTGTTTGATACATCTGTTTGAATATTCATATATTCACAAAGTGTACAACTTATTATATATGAAATCAGAGTTGATTTCATCCATAAGGTTCTCAACCTTAGACAGCAGGATCTTCATATTCAACCTGTCTTAGAATACTCAGTGAACTTATTCAAAGTTCTTGGAATGAAACATCAAACAAACAATTAGTAGCAACAACATTTTATATGTTTGAGCTAAAGATTCTAAGAATATATATTATCAAAATAATTTTACTTTCTCCTCCTTCGTCAGAAATCAACAAGGTGATAAAGAGATATAAAAATAAATATTTGAAGATAACATATTCAAACCATAGAATTATTTGGATTAAATTCAAGTTTTAAGTTTTGTCTTGAAAATAAGGTTTAAAAAATATATTTGGTAAGTCTTTATGGAAATTAAAATATTTA